CTCTTCACGAGGTTTTTAAATGAGCTTTATTAGTCTGACGTTTCGGCGGGGTCGCCTTCTTCAGAGCCTGAAAGGATCATTACAATTTGTTACAGGATCATTACATTATTATCATTACAGGATCATAGTTTGTGCGACACAGGAAGAAAGAGATGTGTGTTTTGGCCTTCTGAACTCCCAATCAGAGCACATCAAGTTAACACGGGAAAAACCGACCGGAAATTGGCTTCCTTTCTTGAACGTTCAAGTGAGGTTACAAGGCGATATGATTGTTACGAAGTGGTACAGAAAACCCAGCAATAAGAATATCATTGTCCATTCTCGCTCAGCTCATCCTTTTTACATAAAGCGAGCGGTTGTTAGGAATATGTTCCGCACTGCTAAGAATGTTTGCACTGGAGAGGATGAGCGAAAAGAGTCAATTAAAATGGCAAGCGATATTGCTCAGATGAATGGCTACTGCAATTTTTCAACCACACGAAGAGCTTCTTCTGGCGGCGTGATCCTCAGATATGGTAGTACCTCGATCGATGGGAAGATTCCCTTTGTACTACNAAAGGCCCCCTTATCGAGTTTCAGATCTTGTTGGGAAGCGGTCGTAATCTAATAGCAAGAAATGGACAGAATTCTCTTTTGCTTATCGTAGTGCTTCTAATAGGGCCCTATCGCTGCACTTACTACTCACACAGCGAAGAAATAAGGAACAATTACACCTCATAGTAAAGAAACGGAAATCATGTCTGAAGTTTCGAAACACTTACCACACGATAATCTGCATTTCAATGAAGTTAACGATAGAAATATGTATTGTGCCAAACAAATGATTTTCAACGAAAAAATAAAACACCACACTATCAGACCAGCAAACATATTTACCGCAAATTACTTTAAAGTGGTAAGTATCATGCTCCAAAACGACCATGATACTTCCACTCCATTGTAACTTAGCAGTATTCACTTGAAAAGGGGTTCAAAAATCTCGAGAAGCAAAAAATAGCAAAAAATAGCCAAATTTGTGGTAGAAATACACAGGATACAGGCGGGTCAATTCGGCGTCTAGTTATAGAGGCGTCATCGATCGGGCGTCTATCAGTTGGATGGACAGTGGGTAGGCTGACTAGCATTGTCAGGAGATTGAATCAGCTGGACGAGTTGCCCAGCTCACAAACCGTCGAATGGGTGGCGCCAAGGAGGCAAATATGAGCCTATTTGTCCCAATGGCAAGTTGGGTGTGAGGAACCGCGTCAAACGACATACACCCGTGGTTCAGTGATAGACTTGTTAAGAGCGAACGCAAAACACCCTGGTTGCGTGTGTGAGTGTACAAGAAAGAGTGCGTCCTAAGCCCCGCCCTTAAGTAGGGGGTGGGGTAACTGACCGCGGGTTCTAGCCCATGTCAGAACACTCCCGCCGGCCAAGACAAATTAAAATTTATTTACACATCAAAACCAAATTACTTTTTCTTTCTTCGAAGTGTCAGCGCGTCGCCCATCGTCCTCATGACCGTCACCGTTCGAAGCCGCCGCCTTGTCCTCGGTTGGCGCACAGCTTGTGCAGGCTTGAGGCAACAACTACAAAGGCGGAGCCTAGCCACCTGCATGCTTTTAGCAACCGCATCACGGTAGCGGTTTCACTGTGACGTATTGTGACTGTCGCGGTTGTCTGCCACAGGGCAAAAAACACAGGAGGACCGCATCTCTGACCGCTTCAGTAGCTCGTTGACGGCTGCCTCAAGACTGTGCAGCCCCCCACCCCAACTACGTGCTCTAGGGTAATATCAGCATTAGTCGAAGACGATGTCTATTGCTTGGTCGAGCATAGCGCTGACGTCTGATTGACCATGTGCTGACTTGTGCCGGTGCTGTGCCTATATGCACTTTTTACTCAAAGTAGAACCCTATAGGGTAAATGTAAATGTACATGAACATAAGTGTCAAAATTACCTGAAGAAGCTTAAGAGATGTATTAAGTGAAGAGAGTTTCTGGCGTCGGTTCGGCTTTTATCGACGGTACGGCTGTGTTTGAAGAAACCGACCGAGCAGAAGTGCATAACGCGCCACGTGGAGCTGTGGTACATCTAATTGTAGCACACAGAACCTTGAGTAGTACGATAATCGCTATTGGACCGAATAAATAAATCAGACCGGTAACTACCGTACAGGCAACGGCAATGTGTACAGCTGCTTTCCAGTGATCCCTGATTGTTGTGAGCAACGGCTTCACATCAGGCAAGTGGAACTGAGAAAAATCTGTCTAGCATACTTACTTGCTCTTCCTCAGAGTTGTGGAAAAATACTGAATCATTCGCGACCGGATGATAAAACAAGTGTCGTTCGAGAAGCATTTCGCTTTATGAGTGGCCACATGCTATGTAACAAATATCCCTAATAAAGTCCCTATTGAAGTTCAAACTGAGCTCGTAGTTGTATTGTTTGGGCTGCGCTTAACAACAGTTGTGAAGTCGAAGCCTTTGATCTCTGCAAATGATTCATGGTGTGAAATGCATGTCACATTTGTCTGTGCTCCATGTAGACAACCATATCAACCTCTCAGCTCGCTCAACTGTGCAGTGCACTGGTTGTCGGTAAACAATTCAGAGCTCTTTGTCATTATCTTGAATCTTACACATAGAGTTACTTCCTCAAATTAGTTTAGCACAACGACGTTGCCATGAGTGTACATTTCTATAGTACCGGTCTTAAGCGGTAAGTGATTGGATTCTTCTTCACGTATATGACTGATCGAGTCCTTACGCATTCGCAAATGTGAGGAGATGTTCCAGTACTACAGCTGCAAGTCAACTTGTTATCGCATCTTGTAAAGTTTCAGAATTCACAAAACGTTTTATTTCCCGTCTCAAAAAGTACTTTAGCAATATGGAGAAGAAATTCGTGGAAGCTCAGCGTGGAGGAAGCTTTTACAGGTATTTGAATAGTAAAATACGGGATAGAAATTTTTAAAGAGTGGTGATCTCATAGCGTGTAGTCCAGCAGACAAGGCCAACATGTTTGCTGATCAGCTTTCGAAGTCGTTCACGAGTGATGATGTTAATGACCCCGAATTTTCTTCGCCTGGTATTTCCACATGAATGAGCTGCATGGTTTTATGGGGATCAGCTGTATGAACGGATCATGCGTTGGCCTAAGTCTACGTCTGTGACACCAGACTTCATACCGCTGGTTTTCATACAGAATATAGCTGATATTGTCGCTGAGCCGTTGGCGTATATTTCCATTCAGTCACTTATGAGTGGAGAAGTACCTCAACGCAGAAAGCACTCTTTCATCACACCTGTTCTTAAGAAGGAACCTTCATCGGACCTGGCAAACTGTCGACCTGTCAGCATCACATCTTTATTTGCAGACTATTTGAGAAATTTGAGAAAACTATCAAAAAGCATATTTTTGGGTATGTTGCTGCTCACGGAATCATACCACGAACCCAACATGGTTTTATCCCAGAGAGGTCGGTCGAGACAAATTTGATTGAGAGTTTAGATGACTGGACTGCTGCGCTCGACAATAATTGTTGCTGTGACGTCATATACTTTGACTTTGCACAGGCCTTCGATAGGGTGTCTCACAATAAACTGCTTCACGAGTTATGGGCCTGGGGGTTTCATCCTACTCTTGTAAAATGGATTTCTAATTATCTACATGGCAGGACCTTTCAAGTCCGAGTAGGACAGGCATTCTCCGATAACATGAGAGTGTTGAGTGGAGTGCCGCAAGGAGGGGTTCTTTCTCCGGTGTTGTTTAATTTGTACACTGCGGAGATACCTAGTTTATTCGATGGTTTGTAGCGAAAATGTATGCTGATGATGTAAAGATTTATAAAGTCGTTACAGAGCTTTAAAATCGGGAGGTGACACAGCAGGCCATTAACTTGTTGAGCGACTGGGCTAAGCGGTGGCAGCTCCCCTTGGCCCCGCATAAAACGATGTATATGACGATCGGCAACAATCTTGCCCCTTTTCCCTCCTACCCTTATACCATGATGTGGTTACCATTTCCCGAGTAAACTGTGTAAGGAATCCAGGCTTTCTCTATACGAGCGCTCTCGACTTTTCCACGCACATTCGCGCTCGGTGTAAGCTAGCATAAGTGCGTACGTCGCACATTTTCAAGGGACTGTCTACCACGAACAAGTCAATCCTTCCCCTCGGACTAGTTAGAAGAGGCTCAGGTTATTTTAGTCTAATGTAAGATCAATCTCAAAAAACACGGTTTACGTGGAATCAGTGTTGTCAGAAAAGTATGATATCAATGCCTTTTGCGAGACGTGGCTTAAACCCAGACATATGGTTTTTCCAATTCTTGGTGGTATAAGTACAGACTACGATGTTCAGACATGTGATCGGCCTAAGAAATCTGGCGGAGGAGTAATGATATTAGTTCACTCAAGGCTTTCAATGGCCCTCGCTTTCAAGGAGTCTGCGGATGGTGCATACGATGTACTGTGTTGATATTTTGAATGAGAGTTCAAGCTTACGGTTTATAGTAGCATATAGAACTCGATCATGTGTTGCAGCAAAAACTAAACAGATGTTCAAAGTTCTCTTGCTTGCGAGCTCGTTGTAGTAGTTGTGGAAGATTTTAACTTGCCAGAGATATTTCATAATGCCAGTGCTCACGGGGATGGCTCCATAGTATCGGAATTT